ACCATTGCAAATCTAAGCACCAAAATGTCCACATACATATGTATATTACTCAGCCATATCCTGACCACATTTTTTTACTTTAACTACATGATCCATTGATTTAGAAGGCTAGGCTAGATCTTAAAATAAAAGTCCATATTCGGCTATATTAAACAGTATTCTCTTGGATGTGGCCTACAGATCTTAAATGATTTAATAAAAGGCATTAGGATTAGATGAATGGTTATATTAAAAAGGACAGCAAACTTCAAATATAAATAAAAGACACAAATATATGTTTGTATTTATACGCAAATTCATATATGCATTCGTCCATACACAGATAGAATAGACAATACATACACACATGCACACGCACACAAACACACACACACGCACGCACGCACGCACGCACGCACACACACACACACACACACACACACACACACACACACACACACACACACACACATATATATATATATATATATATATATATAATATATATATATATGTATATATAATTATATATATACATATGTGTCTGCATATATGTATTCATATACAAAAAGAAAATATACATTCATATACATGCATGCTACAGTACCGGAAGCGGTGAATGGTTGGGCGTCGCGTTCTGCAGCGGACGAGTCCACGGCGGCGCAGGCGGGGCCGGAAGCGTCTCCCAGCCGCTTTCGTCGGCAGCGGAAACCTCTCTGCAAGACCTACTGGAGGCGCTACGGACATTCCCATCAGGAGACTCTGTGAGGGATTGTGTCAGTGAGGGATTATGTAGTGGAATACCCTCGGCCAAGCGCTGGTCCCGATGACCCTAAATGCACCTGTTGTCACCGTCGAGGAATACTATACAGTGGGCCAAACACCGGTGATGATGTACTTACCCGCAAATGAGGCTGTTAGAGAATAAAGGACCAGTAATTCACTGAACTGCGCTACGAGAGACTGGCCCTGTTGCTGCTGTTCCCTGATGTGACCGTTGACGAATATACGGTCGTTTCTTCCTCTTGTTCCTGCGGTGCTTGTTCCAACCTATCACTGTTGAAGAGGTACAATTGCCCTAATTATGCCGCTCATATTAGTCCTCTATTCATCAAGCTATTCATTTGAATCTCTGTGTCATGTCAACCACTGAAAATCTATATAAATATTGAATTATATTGAGAACATCCGATTTCTTTTCTTGCAAAGAGCTGAAAACGTTTTGGATATTTATGTAAGAAATATTAATTGTGAAATTGGCTTGATTAAAGCTGAAGAAATCATGCTTTAGAATTATCATAAAGAAACTGATCTTGATGTTACAAGGTCAGTATTAGGAAAGGCAAAAATAAAATAGGAAAAAGAATTTAAAGAAAATAGTGATCAGCAAAACCTCTCCAGTTTAATTCTTAATACATTCTAGATCAAGTTCGCCTGCAATAAGATGCTTTTGTAAGCTACTATTATAGAGAATTTAAAAAAATAGATCAATAAAATGATGGTTTGTGTCGACATCAATTACCATTGATTTCTGAAGGTAACCTTGTCTGACCTCGTTCTCATCTTGCCCTCTCATCTCCCTCTGCCACCTGATCTTACCTGACCTTGGACGAGGTCACTTTCAGCATCCAAGGTTTGTCCTTCAATGTCTGCTTCGCTAGCATTTTTTTCCTTGTTTTGTCTGTCTCTCTCTTTCCTTTTATCTTTTTCTCTCACTTCCCTCATCTTCTCTCCCTGTTTTTCTCTATCTTCTCTTCATTATCATTATGATGATAATCATAATGATGAAAACGGTAATGATGGTAATAAAATGGTAGTAATGATTATGATATGATGATGATGATGATGGTGATGATGATGGCATGAATAATGATGATAATGACTGTAATTATGGTTATTCTTTTCATTTTCATCATGAAGATAATAAGACGAAGAAGAAAAATGATGATAATTTTGACAACGGTAACATGGACAACAATGATTTTATAAATTACTATAATGGTAAACAAAGTTATGTCATGAATAATGATAATAACAATAATGATAATGATAATGGTGTTTATAATGATAACTGTAATGATAAGAATAACAATAATGCCAACAATAATGATAATGGTGTTTATAATGATAACAGTGATCATAAGGCTAATTATCAATAATGATAGTGGCAATGATAATCATAATAATTATGGTAACAGTAGTAATAATTTATTAAAATGATAAAGATGTGACACAAGACAAAAGTTAGCCATAATGATGGACAGAATTTACCAAGAAGTCACAAAAAGTACTTCCTCTCTTATTTGTATGTAATGTCAAGACCTTGAGAGCCTTGCACAGGAAAGGTAAGAGGGCAGAGCTGTCAAGAAAAAATAGAAAGGTTTTCTGTCTGTCTCTCTCTTCTCTCTTTATCTCTCTCTCTCTCTCTCTCTCTCTCTCTCTCTCTCTCTCTCTCTCTCTCTCTCTCTCTCTCTCTCTCTCTCTCTCTCTCTCTCTCTCTCTCCTCTCTCTCTCTCTCTCT